TCGGCAAGGGCTGAGTGTCAGCTCTCGGAGGTGGTGGCTGCGGTGACGGAGGGACAGACGGATGTCACCGGGGAGCGATTCGGGTAGAGCTGGTCCTCCTCGGGAGGTGGGATGGACCCAGCGACTTTTTGAGAGCCTGGTGAGGATGAAGAATGACGTGGTCCTGGTGCCTCCTCACCATTGCAGATGGGATGTAACATCTGGAAAGACAAAACATCTGGAAAGGGCAGTAGCTGGCAGGTTGCTTAAAACTCCTGCTTTGGTTTTGCGCCTGTCTGGAGCCTCTCCACACCACCATGGGGCAGGGGAAGCCACTTGTGTCCTGCTGCCGTGGCTCAGGGGTCTCTTCCAAGTCCAGCTGTGCTCGGAGGTGTCTTCTCTTTTCTTCTAAAGGGCGGACTTGGGAGTGAAATGCTGGTAAAGTCGAGCCAGTTCAGCTTCCCTCAGTCCCGCTGTGTTCACGGACTGCTAGGCTCAGCATCCTTGTTTCCCTCATTGGGAATCACCCATAAAACCAATTTTAGTTTGTGTTCCTGTGGGAGAAAGGTGGTCTTGAGATTTAAGGAGGAGAAATGTCCTGGCAAAGTTTTTAATCATGCATTCCTCTAAACCTGGAAGGAGAAAAAAGATCCTCTGGCTCTACGATGGAGACTGGCAGTGTTGTTCCTTACCTCGCTGTGCTCAAAACTTGATTTCACAGTTCACCTGAGGAATGACCCGGGTAAAATCTGACTGGGAACTGGGGCTGACCAGAAGACACAAAAGCAAGAGCCGTTGTTCTCAAAAAAAATAGCCCTTTTTGGCAAACAAAGCTGTACTGTCAGGAATCTGTTGGCACTTCTGGAATCCCCTTAACAGCGTATTTGCAATGCTTTTCCGTATGCTCCGTTTATCAGATCCCGGGTTTACAGTCAACATAAGCTAATAACCATTTTTTTCAGAATATTTTCTTGGATGATTCCCAGTTAAAAGGAAGAAAAAAGAAAACATAGAAAAAAGTCCATTTTCAGAGTCTGGCCCTGTGGTGCAGCTTTGATCCCACATCCCGAGAGGGCAGCTGAAGCCCTCCCTGCTTTTGGGTTGCTGGCACTGAACAGGAACACCAGCTCAGCATCCCAGTGGGCTTGGGACATGGCCCTAAGGAGAAGCCTTCCTGGTGTGGAAACCACCACCTGGGAGCCAGGAGGTCCCCAAGGGCAGAGAAAGTCTGTGATACTCTGTTGGTGAAGACCAATGATGGAGATGCCACTGGGCTGAGCATGCCCTCAGTAGTGTCCTGGAGGGCATTGCCACCTCTCTGCCCAGGCTGTGGCTCTCGCCGGGCTAAGGACACTTGCTTTCCCTGCTTGTTGTTGTGTTGGCTTTTTTTTTTCTTTTTTTTTTTTTTTTTTTTTTTACACATCAAACTTTCCAGTGACCTCATCCTGCCCTCAGAAAGTCAATGTAAATGTGCAAATATCACCGTGGAATTTACCCAGCGAGGAGAAGCTAACCTGGATTTCTCCTCTGCTGGTCGAGCAGGACTGGGGAGGACTGCATGGAGGCAACGCAGCCACTGCCTTTCCCTTGTCTAGAGCTGAGACCTTCCAGCACATCCCTCCTGTGGCAGCTGGTGTCCCATAAAAAAAAGACACGGCCTATAAAGATCCCAAAGTCACTGAAAGGCAGGTTATTCCTAAATTAGCAGAACAAAAAGTCTTCCCTTGACTAATAAAATCCAAAGGCACCGTGGGTAGAATGTTGCTTTAGGCAGGCAGTCTCCATCCCTCCTCATCGCTCCGTAGCTCAACCAAGCCTCCAGGTGCCCAGCAGGCACCTGATTAATCCCTGGGCATCGTGCACTCATGAACTGTCTATGGTGGGGTTTTTGTGGGTTTTTTTTGTCTATGGTGGTTTTTCTTTGGAAAGTGCCTTCAGGGTGCAATGGGGTCATGAGCTTTTGAATCCTCCTCAGTGCGTTGGAGTGAGACGTGTCCAAATGTCGCACGCTGGATGCATGACCAGACCTGGACACTCCTCTCTGCTGGTGAAGGTTTTGTTACTTATGACTGATAAACATTTACATGTTTTGATCGTAGTGGGTCCCCACGCCGCACCATGCGATGCTTGTGTGATATTCGTTTGCTGCTCGGCCTTTAGACCTCAGCCAGTGTGTGACACGCTGGCACATCTGTTGGGGAACGAGGGTGCAAGCTGCAGGAAGGTCATCAGCAGTGACTACAAAACGTTCACCCAAAGCTCATCGCTTTTCAGCAGGGCAAGTCCCTTGGGGACCCTCCCTGGGTGGGGTGATGTGCAAGGGGATGGAGAAGGTTACACCACCAGGCACGTTCTCCTCTGCCTCGCAACTGCCTTGTCCCCTGTCCATGATGAGGCACATCTGGCATGTCTCAGACCATGGAGACTCCTTCACACCTGAACAGGAGGTCAGCTGGGACGGCGGCTTTAAGCAGAGCACCTCCTTAAATCACTTCGTCCCTCTGTGACCACCTCCCTACCCTGCTCAGCCCCAGAGGAGCTCTCCCAGCTCGCTGTAGGTATCATCAGCTCTTGTGTCCTCGCCCTTCAGCACAGCAGTTTGCCACATCTGCCTGCCAGCCCCACGACACACGGGCCATATTTTGGACAGAGCAGCTTTCTATGAGAAGATCAGGACACTGGCAAAAGGGAGGAGGCTACAGGCAGCACGCCTGGCAGAAGCCTCCGGAAACGCAAAGCGAAGTCGAGCAGCACAGACCCTGCTTTAACCTTTTTAATTTTACTTTTCCATGCCATTATTAGTGCAAATAGCAAGACGCCATGAGACACCATGTTGGAGCTAAGCTCTAGACCTAAGCTAGCTCTCCAGGGAAATAAACCCAGCTTTACCTGGGGAGGGCTGATTTAACACCCCTGCCCCAAGAAGAGGGAAAACCCCATTGCAATGGGGAGTTTCTGCATCTCCCCTACCTGCTGGCCCTGCCTGAGCCCCCCCATCATTGAACCTCTCTTCAAAGGGCATCACTTTTGTATCCCTCTTTTATCCAGGGGGAAACCTGCACCTCCCACTGTTCCTAAATCCTGCTGTAGTCCCCATGCTGCCAGGATGGTTCATCCTGGGAAACCTGGAACTGAGGGCTCCTAGGACAAATAAAAACCAAACAGTCTTTCTGGACCATGGGGACCAAGCCAGTGAACTCAGTAGGGCTAGGTGGACACCGGTCAGCTAAGGGTCTACAGCTGTCCACATTGCCACCGACCCTGCTCCTCCAGGCTTGGTTCAGCTGTGCCTAGTCTGAATGTATCAGAGACGTCTGCCCAGATATGAGGCGGGACTCCAGGGAGACCTGAGTCGTTCTGGAGTGGCACTGGGAGGACACAAAGACCTCCCCAGGGGCCTGGACACTTGTGCATCAGTGACTGAATTGAGTTCTGAAAGTCTTTCCTTAAATACAGAGACCCCAGGATTCATTGCAATCACCCAAACTTCGCAATACTTCTTCTCCCTTCGCTTAGGTAATGAGACCCATAGCTGGTACGGGTTCAAATTCTCTGTTATTCAATGAGGCAACCAAAAAAAAATTGTCGTGGGTCTTTTTATTTCCTTAAATAAGATTTTACACCTTTGTGGGGCTGATTGCATTACAGAGGATCGAGTTAACACCTCACTGGAGGGAAGGAGAATCGTGGGGAACACAGTCACTCTCTGCAAGATCTCCATCTTCTGCTCCAGCTCAGTTCAGCATGGAGCAGCTTCCCCAACGCTCCCATTTTATGGGTACACCCATCAGGGAAAACCCATGGGTTTTTGTAACTAAAGAAATTCTGTTGAGAGAAATAAATCCATGCTGGGTTTTTTTCCCTAATCCCAGTCCATGCTGCGGCATGACTGCAGAGGCTTTGTCACCCTCAGGGGTGTGGTGGGGCAGTGCACACCAGATCCATTACAGCTGTGTCCAAGAGTGCAGAAACAGCTTGATTTTCAGCTGGGACTTTCAGAAGGAACTTTCAAAAGGCCTTTTAGGAAGTTATAAATTGTCCTCCTGTGAGACTTGTCATTCCACCAGTAGCTCTGGACCTTGACTGTCTCAGCTGATAAATACCAATGCAACCACCACTATCGGGGAATTTCCCCAAAATACAGACACAAATAGGCCTGGTTGCCTATAAGCCAGAGCTGAAATTGCAGGACTAGGGTTTGTGATGGTGATGGAGCTGAGGAAGAGCATCCAGACATGTGAGAACTGGTCCCAATGTCTTTGATCTGTCTTTAAAACCATGATCTGCATGTTATCCACTTCCCATGGCTTAGTTTTGGCCAATCCAAGGCACAGCCTAGGTAAGAATAAAATGGAGCAGGGGAATAGAGTTTTAAAAGAAAATTTAGGATGACACCTGGACAAAAGCATCTTTTTAAAAGCACAAGTCCATGGGACAACAGTCCCGAGGAAGAGATGGGAAGTGTGTTGCTTAAGCCCTGTTGAATCATCCCTAAGAGATGCACTGGAGGGAGCAATAGTGTATGAGCCTACAGATGGACGAGGGCTGGAAACCTTCCATCCCCTTGGCCACAGAAACTTATTCAAACCTAGGAAAAGTGACAGAAATAATTCAAGCTTGGGAACTGCAAATGGTCGTGTCCAGCTGATGCTGTAGAGCCGTTCCCACTAAAACCCATGCAACCCCTTCCCCTGGGAGCACCCGAACCTGGGACTGCAAAAGGCTTAAGAGCAGCTCTTTTGCATAGCAGTGAGTGGGATTTGGGGGAACAGTGCACGCTGCTCCTCCAAGGGGTTTTGGGGTCACAGAGAGGAGGACAGCCCCATCGTCTGCTCCATACCATATACTGAGACATGACAGCTTCTGTCCTTACATCACCCAGCCCAGAAATTTGCTCATCTCTGCACGATGCTGATCGGCAAAGGGAATAGCAGACAAACAGCATCTCTTTAACAGTCCTTTCCTTTTCCTCCTTCGCCCAGTGCCACTGACCTGTGCCTCCACCTCACTTCTGCGCTGCCATGGCCACGCTAGAGACGCTGCCCGTTCTTAGTGATCCAACCTACCCCAGCCCGGAGAACTTCCAGAGTTTTGCTCCTCGGCCATCCCAACCCACCTCCCAGACCAGCATGGGGAGCGTGGGCAGTGGAGTTGCCAACGACCAAGAGTTCGCCATGAAGAGCGTGGGGACCCGGACGCAGAGCAGCGGCCGGCAGATGGAGGGGTCTCGCAATGGGTACTCCACGCGGGAGATCTCCAACCGCTACTCGGGCGAGGAGAAGACATACAGGTCGGAGAAGGTCTCTAATTCCCTCTACATCAACGGTGACCTGCGCAAGGGTGAGAAGGTGAAGATGGACATCTGTGGGAATGTGACCACCAACAACGAGAAGAACATGCCGCCTCCTCCCCAATACCGAGAGCCCAGTAACCCACCAAAGATATTGCCAATCTCCGGCAAACTAGACCAGGTGAGAATCCCCACCTCCTGGAGCAGTGTGATCACCGTGGCACACCTCTAAAAATACAGACCAGGAAGCCTTGGGCAATGGTGCAATCCTGACAAATAGTTTAACTCTTACGATGTAGATAGCATCCTTTTTAGGTACAGATAATCTAATTCCCATTAATTCCAGGCAGCTGAGCAAAGGGGCATGTTAGCTCTTGAGGAACCCACAAGCATGATCACAAGCCTTCCACACCTAAGTTTCCAGCTCATTTAAGCCTGTATTTAAGTCACTGGCTATTCCAACTTACCCGAGATGCTGTGCCTACCTCCCCGATTGATGGGGCGGGAGCTAGAGCTGGCTCTCATTTTGGTAGGTCCAGCACCTGAGTCCCACTCTTATGCTTTGTGCCATTTATAGGCAATCTCCTCATTGCCACCAAGAGGTGCTGCTTGAAAGCAGCTATGAGCATCTGTTCAAAATCCCAGTGCCCCTTACGAGGGACAGACTGACAAGGCTTGAAAACTATCCCTGTAGGCATTACCACCCATCCATGCCCAGTCCTCATGGCTCATATAGGCTTCAGGGAGCAAGCATCTCCCAGGCCTGGAGGAGCAGAGCCCCAGCGCCAGCGATGTTTTATACAGCCTGCTGCTCTGCTCCAGCGACCTCCATAATTTGTGCCCTAGGGACGCTGCCTTGTGCGGCATTATTTCTGCAGCGTCTGGTGGCCTTGTCTCCCGGACTGTTAATCCACTGGCCTCTGTAGTCCATCTCAGTCCTACATGCCAGGTGCCAGGTTTTTGGTCTCTGACCTTGCCTGCTCACCAGGGTTCATTCTGTTTCTCCTGGAAGGCATTTTCAAAGCACCTTTGCTAACACAAAGAGGCTGCCACCGGGTTAATTTTCACCTGCAACCCAACCTGCAGCAGGGGAGGCTCAACCGCACTCCGAGGAAAGTTCTGTTTCTGTAGGTGCATTCCCGGGGCAAGGAATGTGCAAGGTTTTCAAATCCTTTCCAACTCCTTCACAGCTGCAGTCCGTTCTTCCCCCAGCATTGCTTACGGCCACAGGAAACACAAACGTTCAAATGAAGAGCAGCTTCAGCATGTTCCTTGCCCGGTGTCGCTGCCGGAGTCACAGCTCCCACCTATTCCTGTCTGAGCATAAGCAGGACATGATGTCCACACAGGGACTGCTGACAGGAGGGAAACGTGATGCTCCCGTGGCAAAACGGCTGCTAATCCAAAGGTTCAATTCAGTTTTCAGCAAATGGGAAATGCACCCTCAACACTAGATGTCCTTCAAAATATAATCTGCCAAAATCAAGGAGTTGTTTTGATGAGGTCTGGTAGGCAGGTGGCAGCCCTCCTTCTTGCAAAGGGGACTAAGAGGACCCAAGGAGTATTCTAGGGAAAATCACGCAGATTTGGCGTGAGTCAAGATTTTTTTTTTTTCAGTTGGGGCAAGAGAAGAGAAAGGGTTGCCCCACGAGTGACTACAGGTCCCTCGTGTTAAATCCCAAATGGCCCAGGGTGTAATAAGGCTGAGAAACATGGAGCTAGCCCAAGACGTCCTAGCTCCATCAGCCCCAGCCTGTGCCGATGTATCTCTTTTGTGTGTTTTTACCAAGCTTCCTGCTATGTTTGATGCGTGGTCCTTTTTCCTTTTGCAGAGCAATGAGCCCTTAGTTAGACCCTCAGCCTTTAAACCAGTAGTTCCTAAAAACTTCCATTCCATGCAGAACCTCTGCCCGCCGCAGAGCAACGGGGTGACAGAGAACAGAAAGAGCTTGAACCATGCCAACAGCAATAGCCCGTCCGCACCCAAAAGTGGACTCGACAAGAGCAGCCTTAACAGGACTACAAACCAAGTGGGGGGCCTTTCGGATTCAGGCCGTAACTCGTTAACAAGCCTGCCCACGTACGGGACAGGCTACAGCCAGCACGTGGGTCCAATGAGCGCCTCCACGAGCCACATCAATCGCATCGGTACAACCTACGTGGACAAGAATATCGTGGGATACAACGGGATATCTACCTCAGACAGTGGGCGGTCTTCGAGCAAGAGCACCTCTTCGTTCAACAGACTGAACCATCTCAACGAAACGATGCCTTTCCACTCGCCTTCAACAGACGACATCATCCAAGACTTGGAAGATCGGCTGTGGGAGAAGGAGCAGGAGGTCCTCCAGATGCGAAGGAACTTGGACAAAAGTGAGGCAGCCATCTTCCAAGTGTTTGAGGAGAAGCAGAAGATCTGGGAGAGAGAAATGGAGGATCTGAGGCAAAACTATGCCAACAAATTGCAACAGGTCTCCAAAAAGGCGCAGCGGGCTCAGCAGGCCTTGCAGCTCCAAATCTTCAAGCTCCAGCAAGAGAAAAAAAAACTCCAAGATGATATGGGACAACTCCTCCAGCAACGAGAGGAGCTGGAGAAGAAATTTGTGGCTTTCAAGAAGGAACAGGCTGAGTTTCTCCCAAAGATTGAAGAGACCAAGTGGGAGGTAAGAGCCTTGTCATAACAGACCTTGAGTGAGGTTTTCACTGAGGGTTGTGATAGCCCAAAATATCCCCCTTTGTCATTTGGCCTAAGTGGACCCCACAGACAATGGCTATGGGTTGGTGGCCTCCAGCTAAGACATGACACTTCAGGTACCTCTTCATTTCTCTGAGCCCCAAACCTGATGTTTTTAATTAAACTAAAATGAGCACCTTTTTTTTGTGCACGCTTCCTGTGCTGGTTAATGATTTGGCTTCACAGTAAGGTCACTCCACCGTGTGACATCAGAATCCAGTTTCAGTGAATACAGGTCTTTCCATACGGATATTTGTGCCTACCAAAATCGGGCTTAAGTCTATTTTAATTAAATTCTTCTAACATCTGTGTTTGGGCAAACCTTGAAACCACTTTTCAAATATTTGATTTTATTTTAATTTAAGATATAAAAGAAGTGAGCTAAGAATGATACCGGTAGCCAAGTCTACCTCATGCTTTCCATTGTAACACGCTGTTTTCAGTTGCTAATAAGTTTATCTCTCTTAAAAGGTTGAAAGGCAAATTTCTCTTTCCAGTTCTCCTTTTCAGCTTTACATATTTGTTCTACTGTTTCTATTTTTAGAACATTTTATCAAAGTCTGTTTGTATAGCCAGTGCTAACGGGTTTTTTTCCAGCTTGATCATGTGAAGAATTTTAATCCTTCCATGGACTGACTAGAAACTTCAAATTTAAGAGTGCAGAGGCAAAACGTAGTTCTAGAATCAAGAAAACCCTATTCTGCTAATCCTGATGGAAAGTCAATGAAGCTGGGATTAATTAGGCTCTGAAATGTGCTATTTGCAGATGTTCAGCAGAGCTTACTACAGGCTTGCCGTAAAGTCTCTGCAAGTTACATCCCAGAACAAGCAGGCTGCATTGTCCCACATGATGCCTCCTTTGGCCAGCTGCTCTGCCCTGGTCTTTTGTGTCTTCCAACAAGTTAGGTCTGGAAAGTTCCCTGATTTTGCACCAGTAAAACTGCAGATGGGCTTTTGATTATCTGCTTCACTGCTATAGTTATGTCTGCAACAGCTAACCCAGTGATACCGATGTAAAGGTGGGGACTCAGCTTGTGGATCAAGACACCTAAAATTTGTAGACACCTACACTTGCTGACTTGCTCTCCAGGTTCCATGGACTGTACTGCCTGGAACTCCACAGCACCCAAGTAGAGGCCAAAATTTAAGTGTTTTAATCTGTAAGTTGATTCTTATGCAAGCTGTTCTTCATGATTTATTCCTCTGCCTTTCGGGAAGAGCTAGCCCACGGAGAGCACTTTCAGTAAATTGTGCAGTCTTTTTAGCTAGGCAGTAACGTAACTACAGCTAAACCATCACGATATGGTTCTGCATCTGCTGCCAGACAAGTGCTGGTATGGATGTGGGCACTCACACAGTTAGGTCTGCATGGGGAACCACCTCAGCTGTCAGGTCCAGGAAAAGCTGCTACCAGTAGGAAGTGACTGGGTACATCTCTTAGCTCTTCAGCCATTGCTTGTGAGCACTGGACTGTCCTGACAGCTGAGCTTTAAGGTCTTGCTCAACATTATGCACCAGGCAAGTCCTCTATAGCAGAGAAGGGTGGAGGCCGCAATGAAGGCAGTGGAGAGGAGAGTTTGTCTGAGGAGCATTAACCCAACTGGAGCAGAGCAGCAAGGGACCTTGCAGGCACCGCAGGAGGGAGGAAAGGCCAAGCATTTCACGTGCGACAAGAGACAGGAGCTTCAGGAGGATGGGACACCCTGGTCTGGAGGTGGCTACCAAGTCTATTTTTAATTATGCCTATCCTCTCTGATCACTGATGGTTCCTTGATGCTGCTCCCCAGCCCAGACTCCTGCCAGCACGGGTAGGGACTGTTTGTCTCTGCAGTCATCCACAGCAGACAGATCAGACCTGCCAGTGCAGAGCCCTGAAAACCACAGAGTTCATGGGGAAATGAGGGTTCGGTCATTTTTATGGTTCACTTCCAATACTCAGAACTATTCATGCAGCTGTTACCTTTGGTGGACTACGCAGGCGCAGAGGAGTGTCATATGAAGTGGTGACACCTAAGTAATGCAAATACGCACTGCAGAAAGGGTATTTCCACTGGGCTTGCGTACCCTTCCACATGGGTGAGACTCGAGCCGGTCAGGATGAGACCTGAAACTCCAGTGCCCAACGGCAGTGCATGGTAGTCCCTTTTCAGCAAGGGGGGGTTGCAGCTCTCTCCTTGACCTTTCGCAGAGGGGCTGTCACCCTTCACACCCTGCCCCAAAGAATTAAATAGCTGCCAGTCCCTGGACTGTCCCCAGTGAAGTGAACCCTAAAATTTAATCAACTGCGTTCTTCAGGAGTCTTTGGGAAGGAAACTGTCATAGGACAAGTAAGTAATACCGACCGACTCTGCATCCTGTCCTACACTCCCAGTGCTCAGGACAGCCCGGGTGGTCTGTGGGTCTGAGATGTTTCTGTCTCAGACTTGTTCAAGGTCCAGACCCTGTTGAGGTCAGTGGGAAAACTCCTGCTGAGAGCAGAGGGTTTGGGTCAAGCTCCGCAGGCTTGTGGCTACGTGAGCAAGATGAAGGCAGGGAGGGAAGCATCAGTGTCTGCTCAATACTGGTGAAGACCACAGCACTTAGCTGTTTGGTCAGCTCTGGCTAGGAACAGCATCAGGTCTGTGAGAGCCAGGAATTAACACCAAATCTCCCCCATAAATGTGGGGACAACCTTTAGGTCTTTGGCATGGTCTGGGTCCTGGTGAAGGCTGGAACTCAGTCCTTGAGGAGCATGGCTGTCTGTCCCCTCTGTTACCTGAGCCTCCTGCCAACACGAGGCCACAAAGGTGTTTCATGGGCAGCGTGAGGGACAAGCAGCGGTGGCAGCTCCTCACTGCCTTCCTCCTGCTTCATGGATGCTCTCCTCACAGGTGTGCCAGAAGGCAGGTGAGATCTCCCTGCTCAAGCAGCAGCTGAAGGACTCCCAAGCAGATGTCTCCCAGAAGCTGAACGAGATCGTGGGACTGAGGACACAGCTCAAGGAAGGTAAGAACTTCCTACGGGAGAAGGAGGAGCAGATCCTCACCCTGAAGGACTCCTACAGTTCCAAGAGTGTCAACCTGGAGATCTGTGAGAGTGAGCTGCAGCGGAAGATGAGCGAAGTCCAGGTGCTGAGGGAAAAACTGAACCACTGTGAGCTGGAGGTCTCTGGCCTGAAGCGGACACTTGCCAGCATGGGACCTCCAGGGCCTTTTGGTGGGGACCTTGGTGAGAAGCTGCGGGACCCACTGGCCTGCGAGAGCGATGAAGCCAAGATGCAGCGGCAGAGCGAGGACAGTGTCAACACGCTGCGGAAGGAGGTGGAGCGGCTCCAGACGGAGCTCAAGCTGGAGCGGCAGCAGCGGGAGCAGCAGGTGATGGACTTCGAGGAGGAGCGGCGCACATGGCAAGAAGAGAAGGAGAAAGTCATCAAGTACCAGAAGCAGCTACAGCTGAACTATGTGGAGATGTACCAGAAGAACCAGCTCCTGGAGCACAAGGTGAACGAGATGAACACGAAGGCCACCAGCCCCCCGCACACTGAGGAGAAAAAACCATGGACTCCCTCCAGACTCGAGCGAATAGAGTCCACCGAGATCTGAGGTGGGACCAAGACAATACAACATAGTTTTTTTATTGCTGTGCATGTACAACCTACTCAAGCCAGTGATCTTCCGAAGGATAATACGCTACCGTAGGAGCGGTGTGAGTCTGCTCGCACCAAGCTCCATCACCCTTACTCTATACTTCTGTGCTCTGTAGGTAAAATAACTGTGGATGTGCGTTGTTTTTCTATCGATAATGCGACATCTCTTTTGGTTTTTTTCCTAGTACAGCTGGTGAGGGCCAATTGGCTCTTTTGTATTCTGCCGTGACTGTTACTTTGCTAGAGGCTGCCATCCCCTCTCCTACAATTCACTCCTCTTTGGTTGGTTGTTTTGGAGGGTTGTATTTGGTTTCTTTGGTTTTCCAAGCAGTTATGTGCAGCAAAACAGTTCAAAGTGGCAGGTTTTTTTTCAGGGCATTTTTAGCCATATTGGCTAAAATGTGGGGATCTCTTGGGATCATGAGAAAACTCACTGTTCTGCATCAAGTATCCTGTCTAGACGGTGGTCTTCGTGAAGTCAGTGGGAGGTTGGCCACTGATTTCAGTGAAACCAGACATATCTCTACCAGATGACTCTCTCTTGCCAGCCCATGGCTACCATGGTTGCAAGAGGTTAGGACATCCTTGAGGAGCAGGATGAGCCTGTCCTGGTAACGTAAGCCAACAAGGAATGATCGCCCAGCAGGAGCCTCTTCGGAGGCTCAGGAGAGCTTGACATATGGTGCGTTTTCATTTCCTTGTGGTTTCCTTCTGCAGTTCCACTTCCCTCCTGGGTTGTGACCAATCCTGGGAGCAGAAATACCCTCCCACCTCTGCCTTGGTCCCTCTATACTTACCATATATTCAAGCTGGCTACATCAAAAAAAAAACCCCTTGGAAATCCAAGCTAGTTTCCTTCCCAAGATCCCTCATACTTCCCAAAGTCAACAGAACGAAGGTTTGGGGAAGCCTCCAAACCTGGGGGATGTTTATGCAAACTGAAGCTTTAGCAATTTGCCTCTACAGGGGGCAATTGTGCTACCCCATTCCCAAATGAGTGATGCTTCAGCGCACTCTCTTGGTCCGGGGTCTACTTAAAAAATGGCACCTGAGCCTCACTCAGGAGTTGCAGTGAGCACGTATCAGCGCTACCACTAGATTGCAACGGGGCGACCATTAGCCTTCAGTAGGGCCATGTCAAACAGCACCCACAGCGATCCCACGTGGCATCACATACTCCAGCGCCAGAGGTAACGCAGGCCTAGCTTAAGAAAACTAACTCTGAGCACGAAAGCCGTCACAAGAAGGGAAAATGCTTAAGATCACGCAAGTGCTTATGCCCTGGCAAAATAATAACCAAATCCATTAACCAACCGGTGTGCAGTCACTGAGAATGGTACAGGCATGAAAACCCAGCAGCTTTAAAAGGAGGGCAAGGTGGGTCTGGCTCTCCCTTTCGCACTTTTTTACCATGACCCACAGAAAAGAGTAAAAAATGTTGCAAAATGGAGTTTGCACTGACTGGGCAGTGGCCTAAGGACCGATGCAAAGTGGGAATTTTGGCTCTTTGCCCTGGGGAACAGCTAGAACAAAACTAGAATTAGCACTGGGACATCTTGGGATGTCTGTGTGAGGTGACTCCAGGGAGAGTTTGGCTAGATCACATTCCATCTGTGTAGCAAGGAAGAACCTCAGGGTGTTGAGGGGCTGAAGACCTTCCAAACAAAAGCCCTGAAGCTACTCATTTTCCATGTCCCCTTCCCCAAAAGCTCCCCTCTCCCCATCACCACATCTGACCCTCAAGTTGGCATCAAACATTGTTGTGGTGAGCTCCAGACTGAGCAAAGAGGCTGAGCAGGAGAGAGGAGACTCCAGTTAGTCCCACCAATGTCTAGCCAACAGACAGTATTACTGGGCAGGAACTGTTGATGGCTGGCAGCGATCCCTGGAGCCATACAAAATGGAGATGTATGATGAGACCAGGGGCATTTCAAGACCCCAGTTGAGGGCACCTGGCTTTTCTCACTGCTTCTTCCTGTGCCTTTGTAGCTGGAGGAAGACACAATCCATCAGTCTGGAAACACCAGGGCAGCTCTGCCTAAGCCCCTCTCCCAGGACCAGACACAGAAAGGGGGACTAGGTCAGGTCTGACCCCTCAAGGGTGTGGAGATGAGTCTCATTATGAATCCTGCAGATGCTCCAGCAGGACATCAGCCCATGCACTCCACCAAGGAAGGAGTGCAGCTGCCTGCCGATGCCACCCAGCAGCAGACTTTACCATGCCAAGGGAGACACCCACAGGTGCTGCGCAAACTTACTCTTGGCCAGGCAAATCCTAGAGCTTCCTCCATTTCATACACTGGGCTTTTGAGACGGAGTCAAACATCCCACAGTGTCAGGGTTGGAGATCTGCTGTCTTGTGTCATCTTGGCTTTCTGTGCCTCTCTTTCCGCATCAGATAAATCCATGCTGTCTTCCTTCCCAAAGCAGTTGTGAGGCATCTGTGTTTGTGAAAGGCTTTGCAGTCCTTGGGCAAAAGGGCAAAGCACAGAGAAACTGCAAGAGACTTAGTCTCAGACAGTCGTATGGTGTTTTTGAGGCCACCACATGAAAAGCAAACCCAACAGCAAATGCCCTCATCACAAGATGTGTCCAATAACCTGGAGGGTCATTTCCACCTTTGCTCCTTCTGGCACCACTGACATTGAGGTTGGTTTCCCACTAACTGCTGCAGAAACCGCAACAGTTTCAGTCAGTGGCTCAAGAACAACCAGAGTGATTGAGTTTCAAGGATCTACTGTTGAGAAAACGTACACCGCAATTCCCCACTGCATTAACACTCAAGAGGAATGGACACCGCCATCACACCGTGGGACACCTTCTCACCAGAGCTCCTTGCTAATCCACAGGCAGGAGAAGCAGGGGCTTGTATGGCCTCGCCACGTACCTGGATCCAGTCAGCAGCAATCAGCCAAGCCCTCCAGCATGCCAGGTTTGCTCCGTCATCTTTCTCCTAGACCTTTTTTGCAGTGGTGCCAGGAATGAGTGTATCTTGATGGACCCAGTGAAACCTGGAGGCATACGGGTTTGTCTGACTGCTGGAGGATGCTGGACTGCCCAGGGACTCAATGGCCTCACAGTGCATCCATCAGGGACTGTAGAGCTCCTTGGGATGGAGCAGGAGTGGCAAGGAGAGATTTTTCACCTTGGAGGAGGAAAGTTACACTCCCTTCACCTTCTTCACTGCATCACTTCGATCTAGAATTTTGATCCAGATCTAAGCAACCTTGACTGTGGCTATTCCCTGGATGGCAGAGACACTTATGGACACCCATTCAGATGCTGTGCTGCTGCTGGTGGTTCTCCCTCTCTTGGCATTCACAGTATCCCCCAAGCACTCAGCTGTCCTGTAGAAACCACCTCCCTATGCTATGGTGACATAAAATACAGATGGTTTTGGCAAGTGCCCCAGCCAAACTGCCATGAAGGATTCCTGCTCTTCAGGAATCCTCCCCACAACTGGATGTGCTGCCCCCCATCACGTCCTCTCCCATGTGCTAGCACTGTGTGGCCACATGCTGGTAACCAGCTTCTCTTGGAGTTGACTGCCCTTTGCTCAGCACAGATGGAGCAAACTGATGGTGGGACACCTGTGTTCCTGCTGTTTGTGCTCAGATCTGGCCCTGATGGGAGCTCACCTAGCTCTTTCCAGACCTTAACACTTATCCGCTGACTGGATGAAGTCTCCCATCACAAGCTTGGTCTGTGTTGAAGCCCTGGGATCTTAGCCTTGGAGAAAGAAAGCCAAGGGATGGCAGACTGGCATCTTGATGACATATCCTGGGAACAGCCAGGGAGGCTGACATCTCATCTCTTGGAAGCTCAGGCAGGGTTGATAAAATGCTTCTGTTCCATGAAACTCAGTTTAGAGTTTGGGCTTGATTACAACCCAGCTGTCTCCTCCATTTTTGCTCAGCCAGTTCTGGAGGTGATGGGATTCAGTGTGACATAGTGGCTCATGTGTAATTCCCCAAGTACTGCCCTCAAAATCTTGCATGTGGTTAGAGTCTCTACTGAAACAAGAAGTCACCTCTAACTTGCCTTTGGCCAACAGGAAAAGCTGTGGTCATGAGGGTCTCGGGTCAATCTGGAGACACTGGAGGTGCTCTAGGATACCTGATACATGGGGCTGGCCAATATGATCCAAGACTTCTGGAAGAGCCAGGCCACTGTGGGAAGACCTGGAGCATCTCTAGTGGCACATCACCCCATGAGGAGTCATGCTCCAGGTATATCCACTTGGCTGTTACATGAGCAAACACAGGACACTGATCAGCTCCAGCAATTTCCATCCATGAAGATTTCAGCTAAGCAGGCTATCCTGGTGCCAGGGAAGGTCTAAGCAGCCCCTCTTACCACTTGCTGTGAGTGGGGCTGCTTTGCTGCACCACCATTTCGAGGTTGGTTGCCGTCGCCGTACGATGACGGCCCAGCTGGGCTAGCTCCCCACGCACAGCCAGCACTCCTGTCTCACCCTGGGTGTGAACACCGCAACCATCGCGCGTTGCTGTGCTTCACACAGTCCCACCTGGCTTCTGCCATCGGGGCACCCAGCTGCACCGTCCCTGCTGTCGCTGGCATCGTGCCGGAGGGAGATCACCTCCAGGTTTCCACGCTCAAGATAGGAACCGAGTTGTTGCTCTTGTGCTGCTACGCTATACGGAGACAAGTGTACTTGGATGTAAATAACAGCCCGGCTCTGTATATACAATGATTAAATGAAGAGACGAGAAAGCTCTGTGGCTTCTATATTGGTGAGCGGGATCGACAGTAGCAGCCGATGCTGCATTCGAGCGCTCAGCGCTACGTGGAGGGTGCTCAGCACCCCCTGAGCTTTTGCTGGCTGCAGTGGAAACGGGGGAGGCTCAGCACCTCCTGGGACAGCAATCCGCTTGGGACTGGCTCCGGCAGAGCAGCCTGGTGTCACTCCGTCCTGCTTCGATGCCTGCTGTCATC